TATAAAGATAAACAAAACGTTAGGTTCTGTCTATCGCTGCAAAGTAAGAATGTTACCAACGTGTAATGACGTTACCTTTCGGCACTCATTTTCAGTTCAACCCCACATCTTTTTTACTTCTCATGGGCTTGTCTTTAATAAACTTTACTAACATTTTGTCATAAAACGACTTGTTTTAAGTTGTAGTATTAAAATTATCTGAACTTTGTCCAAATGTTATTTCTAAATTCATTCCTTTTTGAGTAAAGCTTATGTATCATCAGATTCAAAATGTATGTTAAAGAGAAACGTCAACGACGTCGGTAAATTCTTGCTGTGTGGTGATAGACGAGACCCAAGATTATGTTTATTATAATATTTTAAAAATATTGCCTATATCTGAATGGAATGTTAGGAAAAAGTCAAAATAGAGATATTAATATGTAAAGTTTTGTTTAAAATTTTCGAATATTAAAGATTTGATAGCAGTTGTAACATTACTTTTGTATCAACCCTCGTATTTTAACTTACTTGCATCTTTCAAACATTTTTAATTCAAGAAAACCAAAGTACACATAATACGACTTTAGAGTAACCTGACGATATCAAGCCTATTATGACCATCCATGAATCGATAAATGTTTTACCATGTCAGACAAATCTATCTTTTCCTAGATAACTTTAATTGAGTATATTGTGGTACCCTAACGGCCAGTGACCTGAAAAACAGTTGGTATCAAATCTTGTATGAATCCCTTTGAGTCCTGCAAAGTTCAAAGGTGAGGTTTCGCTAAGGATAGTAACGTCAGGCATGTGTGATTCTGTCAGCTTTTTAAAGATGTAACCATCATTTTGATTGACCTTTCAAATAATATCATAAACTGCAACGAGCTTTAACGGATTAAGGTACTTATTTTCGGAATATGAAATGACCAGACCTATCAACATAGACGATTTCAATTAACTTTGGTAAATCTACGCGTAAAAGACTATTACTTTAATTCAATTCGTACAATAACCGACATCGTTTCTTAGAGTGCGTTGCCGCTTGAAAAATTCGTTTTTATGAGTAGATATAAAATGATATTATTAAAGTATAGAGGAAGAATAAGAGATACTGCTGATTCCAACTGGAAAATGTACACAAAAAGTGGCCTAAAAGACTTGAATCTGGATTTCACTCCGAACAGCTTGTAAATATGGTGAAAAGCATGTCCTAGACTTGCTAATTATAAACTTTAAAGGTGCTTGGACACAGATTTGAAGTTAATATTTTTTTTCAAATTTTCTGTATATTTTCATGACTTGTATGTTGCTATAGCATTTCATACTAAAATATAATAAAAATCTTATTTCATCTCGAAGTTATTAAAACTTCTATTTTCTGGACGCGTTGGATTTACACATCCTTGTGCTTTCACATATTTTAATTTTATTCTTAATACTTAAGAAAAGTGGCAATTTTATTGCGTATTAATGAAAAATATCAAAACTATAACCCAGAAAATTCAGAGTAGAAATGTTCGAAAGCAAAATCCACTCACAGTATTGTAAGTCCATGCTCAGTGGTGTGTGCAGAGTTTAACAATTGAACACACCCGGTGAATCGTATACATTAACAATAACAGAGCTCGTGCCCTGTTTACAAAAACAGTTTACGTTTCACGGGTGTGTTCAATTTGTTAAACTCTGTATACATCATAGAGCACGGACTGACAATACTGGTGAGATGGTTTTGCTTTCAAACATTTCTACTCTGAATTTTCTGGATTATAGATGTAATATTTTTCATTTATACATAACAAAATCGCTCCTTTTCTTAAATATTAAGGATAAAATAAAATTTGTGTAAGTGCAAAGATGTGTTAATCAAACGCGTCCCGGAATTCGTAGTTCCAATAATTTTCAGATAAAATAAATTTTTAATTATATTTTCGTGTGAAATGTTATTGCAATATATAAGTCGTGATATTATACAGAAAATTTGAGAAAATATTAAGTTCAAATCCGTGTCTAAGCACCTTTAAAGAAAACAAATGATAAAAGTAAATGTAGATACATGTAGATAAAACATCCAATTTTATATAGATAGATTAAACTCTCAGTTACCTGTATATAAAACCGTAGTACGTCATGTCTTCAGAACTTGAAAGAATAACTTTTGTTTCTGTTAAATGCGTATTCAGTTGATACGAAACATCTATCTACATGTACATAGTACAAATTAGTTTTTATAGAGTTAAAGACAGTCATATTAAGTACATTGTGAAGCTGTACATGTAAATCAAAGTGGCTATAATGTTAATCATAAATCCGAAAAATTGCCTCAAGTGGGAGTTTTACAGTAATTGTATATACTCAAGTGTTTAATACTATACAGTGTGAAAATATATACATATTTCACTGCTAAGTTTCAAGTTCAAAAATGCCTCAAGTTTGTAAACCACAATCAGTAGGTCCCAACTTAACCTTTGAATCCCTATTTTGCGTTTCTACTTTAACTATGGTTTTTATGATGACACCATGCACGAGAAGTGTCTTTCTGCATAATTTTCAGTCGGTCATCTAATATGACTTATTTCAAAACAGGGCTTTAACGAACGTGAATGTTTTTTTCGATCACTTTCAAGGTTTCTACTCTATATAAAGAAAAGTGTTAACATAAAAAACTTATCATCAGTTTTTTGGTGTGTTTTTTTTTCTTTCTTTCTTTCTTTTTTTTTTTTTTTGGTTTATCCTTAAGCTTTTTTCATATCAGAGACCTCGTTTCGTTTCGTCATTTAAATCTCTATATCCCCTGTAGTTGTAACGCACATAACATAACGTTTATTTAACAAACAGAGAACAAATCCATTTCATGTCTGACATGTTTTAAAATCAATTTTCGACCTACATGTATACAGGATACTGCTTCATATTGGACTTTTGTTTTTGTATCACCGGGGAAAATAAGTGTAAAAACTTTCCGGCAACAATGAAACATAAAAATGCTAACGATGGAATAACACTTGATTATGACTTAGGTCGGTAGGGCGAATTCTGGAAATCCAAAAATTGCACCCGAACAATCCGAAGCCTTGGACTTGACTGATTAACAATGTTGCATGTAACATATATATAATAAAATATAACAATGACAATTAGCACAATTCTGAGCATGAGTGACAGATGGCTTAGATAGAATAACTCATGATATGTTGAGTAAATCGATTAAATTTTGAGTTACATGGTAATTAGCATAATTAGTCTTTTATGTTGTTTTAAGTAATTACAATAGATTAAAAGTATATTTCAAAGATAGTCAAAACATGCCACTAAAATTGTTTTTATCAAAATTTACACCGTGATATTTGTTTAGTTGGTTTTTTTTTTTTTGGGGGGGGGGGATACAAGTATTGCATCTTTAAAAAAAACTTGAACATCTAAAAATTTATCAGGACTTCATGCAATTAAAACGTTTGCTTGAATATGATGCAATTATAAACTATTTTCCAAAAATTATCAATATTGATAAAGCATCACTGAAATAAATTCTGTCAGACTCCATTTCCAAGTTTACCAAAAACCATTTCATCTTTTTAAAACCACACTAAACATGTTATCAGCTATTTGCTTTATATGAAACACGTAGTGTTTATATGCAATTATAATGAAGTAGAACATACAATTTCTCTGTAAGCTCGTTTTAACAATACAACTGTACTATTTTGAATCATACAATTATGTACTCAAAATCTTTATCTCAAACACACGATTTTGCAATTTTAAATATCTACAATGCCAAAAGAACAACATCATTTCCCCCACATTTACTTCAACTAAACATTTAAAATTGTCTCTCATTCGTAGTTACACAGACTCCTCGCGGTCGTTTAACATCGCGTCTTTCTCTGTTGTATCAACTGTAACAACTATCTCTCTAGACACGTCCTCTTTTCCTCTCTCTGTATCAACTGTAACAACTATCTCTCTAGACACGTCCTCTTTTCCTCTCTTTGTATCAACTGTAACAACTATCTCTCTAGATACGTCCTCTTTTCCTCTCTTTGTATCAACTGTAACAACTATCTCTCTAGACACGTCCTCTTTTCCTCTCTTTGTATCAACTGTAACAACTATCTCTCTAGACACGTCCTCTTTTCCTCTCTTTGTATCAGCTGTAACATCTCTCTAGACACGTCCTCTTTTCCTCTCTTTGTATCAACTGTAACAACTATCTCTCTAGACACGTCCTCTTTTCCTCTCTTTGTATCAACTGTAACAACTATCTCTCTAGACACGTCCTCTTTTCCTCTCTTTGTATCAGCTGTAACATCTCTCTAGACACGTCCTCTTTTCCTCTCTTTGTATCAACTGTAACAACTATCTCTCTAGACACGTCCTCTTTTCCTCTCTTTGTATCAACTGTAACAACTATCTCTCTAGACACGTCCTCTTTTCCTCTCTTTGTATCAACTGTAACAACTATCTCTCTAGACACGTCCTCTTTTCCTCTCTTTGTATCAACTGTAACAACTATCTCTCTAGATACGTTCTCTTTTCCTCTCTTTGTATCAACTGTAACAACTATCTCTCTAGATACGTTCTCTTTTCCTCTCTTTGTATCAACTGTAACAACTATCTCTCTAGACATGTCCTCTTTTCCTCTCTTTGTATCAGCTGTAACATCTCTCTAGACACGTCCTCTTTTCCTCTCTCTGTATCAACTGTAACAACTATCTCTCTAGACACGTTCTCTTTTCCTCTCTTTGTATCAACTGTAACAACTATCTCTCTAGACACGTCCTCTTTTCCTCTCTCTGTATCAACTGTAACAACTATCTCTCTAGACACGTCCTCTTTTCCTCTCTCTGTATTAACTGTAACAACTATCTCTCTAGATACGTTCTCTTTTCCTCTCTCTGTATCAACTGTAACAACTATCTCTCTAGACATGTTCTCTTTTCCTCTCTTTGTATCAACTGTAACAACTATCTCTCTAGACACGTCCTCTTTTCCTCTCTTTGTATCAACTGTAACAACTATCTCTCTAGACATGTCCTCTTTTCCTCTCTTTGTATCAGCTGTAACATCTCTCTAGACACGTCCTCTTTTCCTCTCTTTGTATCAACTGTAACAACTATCTCTCTAGACACGTCCTCTTTTCCTCTCTTTGTATCAACTGTAACAACTATCTCTCTAGACACGTCCTCTTTTCCTCTCTCTGTATCAACTGTAACAACTATCTCTCTAGACACGTCCTCTTTTCCTCTCTCTGTAACAACTGTAACAACTATCTCTCTAGATACGTTCTCTTTTCCTCTCTCTGTATCAACTGTAACAACTATCTCTCTAGACATGTTCTCTTTTCCTCTCTTTGTATCAACTGTAACAACTATCTCTCTAGACACGTCCTCTTTTCCTCTCTTTGTATCAACTGTAACAACTATCTCTCTAGATACGTTCTCTTTTCCCCTCTTTTTGACACAGGGAAGGTGAAGGACCAGATGGCAAACAGCACCGAGGGCAAACATTACTCCTCCAAACCAGAACGAATATCTATAGGACCCTGTGGAGTTAAATACTGCTCCTGCAGAAAAGAAATACAAAGAATTGTCACATTTTATGTTTGTCTGTTTCATACAGTATAATATTGACTCATGTCGCTGATGTGCTATGAGATATAGATATTACAATGTCTTAAAAGAGATTCTTGGTATTTTATCTTTTTGAAACATTATTATTATTTTAACCGAAAAAATGGGATAGATAATGTTTTCAGGTTCAAAGACAATATTGGAGACAGCTCGATTTTATATATATAACGATTGCAGAACTAGGCATAAAATGGTGGATTTTCTCATAATTTATAAATGTAAAATGTAGGACAAAGTAAAATCCCCTTTTTCTTGGATTTTTTAAAATTTAGATTTACACTAGAAATCATATAGTTCTAGTAATTTCCTCTAAGTATTTGAAATAAAATGTATACAGTTGAAATATTAATTGACAAATTGTGAAATCTTTTTTTCTCAATATAATACCAGCTACAGGTGGGCCGTAAAGACCAGCCACTCCTCTGGACAGGGTCAGGAGTCCAAAGGCATTTGTAAGTTTCTTCAATCCAAGCAAGTCACAAATAATGATAGGAGTTAATGAGACGTAAGCAGCTATATAAATATACCAAATACAACATATACCTCAGGATGTGTAAAGGGTGCATGGTCAATTTTCTATTCTGATTTAAACACGTTATGCTTATTGTATTTACATGAATCAAGAAAGTGTTAGTTGCAGCTCTGAAACTAATTTATTTGATTAAACGCCTGTTTTATCATTTATGTATTCAACTGCCTCGTACAATTGGTGGACTAAAATTATTTACTTATGATATATCCAATATATCAAATATATGAAATAGAAGAAAGCATTAAATTCCTTAAAGACATTTTTGACCTCCTTTGAAAAATGTTGAGAAATTTTAACTGTATATAGACAGTTGAGAGTTGTGGATCATTTGTACGGGAAACGAAGAATATGATACATGTATTTGTTAAAATATATAAACCAAAGTCTGTAAGACATCAGTCTTTAACACGTACCTACGGAGAATCCATATAATACTGAAAAGGCTACCAGAAGTCAATAGGTTTTACAAAATGGTTCCACAAAGAGAAGAACTGTACTCAGCACCAGAGCCACATTGTTAATGACAAGACAATCGAATTTCAAAATGTCGACCAAGATCCCCAATGCTATTCTGCCTATCGTGTTGGCGATGCCTAATTAATAAGTTTCTACAGAAATGAGTTAGAAGTATCCGCTAAATTGTACAAGAAGAAGACAATAAAGCATGATCCTCTTTCTTCAAAATTAAATGAAATATTACCTATGATAGAAAGTAAAATTGCAGCATCAGTTTGGGAAATGTCAGACTGTAAAGCGTGGTCCACTACGTACGTAAAGGGAACGTAATACCCAGTTATGACAAAAATGATCCCGACAGTTATCATGATGAAGGAAAAATCCCTCAGCAAGGAAAGATCAACCATGTCCCTTAAATTGGCTACAATTGACAAAGGAAGGCATCTACAACTATCCCAACATGATGGTATGGGGATATCAGGACTATTTGTGTTACTTGATGAATAATACTCTGCTATGTTTGATTGTGAAGACTTCATTTCCGGTATGTTTCGAATGCAACCATTGTTCTTTCCATACATTGGGCGAGGATGATTATTGGCTTTATCTTTATGGTCGTTTAGTGATTGGGAATCGGACGAGACGAGTTTCCCCTCCTCCTTGCTGTTATTTTCTTTCTCTGCTCTATTGTTGAACTCTTTGAGGTCAGTTAATTCATCCTCATCCATTCGCCATGAGTCTTCGTGGGCATTATGTTTCCTAATATTCGCTGTCTTTTTTCCTGATTTTTTGGTTTGTGCTTTGATGAGTGATTGTTTCTTTGATGACCCAAGCGGCCTCATCAGCATACCAAAAACACTAGCATTGAGAACAATACCAGCTTGAATCATTACTAAGCTTCTCCAGCAATAAACCTCCAACATGTAAGCGTTAGCAGTTGCAAACAGTAAAGTACCAATACCAGAACCACACAGTGCTATTCCGGTTGCTAAAGCACGTTTCTTTTCGAAATAATATCCCACTACCACAATGGAAGGAAGATATATGAATCCAAATCCTAGACCTTGTTGCAGAAAAAAAGGATATATTACATATTCTAAAACTTATTTGTTGAAAGGCAAACTGATAGTAATTTATCACATGAGTTTGACAATTTTACCTCCTAAAAACCCATACGTCAGAAGAAGAGTTGTGATACTATCAGAAAACGATGCAACCAGAAATGCCGTAGTTGCAAATATGCTTCCTGTAATTGTTACAGCTCGTCAACCGAATTTGTTAGTCATTCCACTTACTAAAGGACCTAAAAAGCACAAAATGTCTTAAGTATATTAAATGTATTGTTTCATGGATTAAAATTTTCTAAAATTCTTTAGAATTTTATAGACTTTCACATAAAATCGGTACTGACCTGCGCACATATACATGCCGGCCAACAATGATCCAACCAAAGCCACTTTTCCTCTGGATTCTTTAAAAACGTGAACCCATTTTGGTAAAAGAACCCCGAAAGAATAAGCTAGCCCATCGACGACTGCATTATACAAAAAAGAACTGACTACTATTGCCCATCCCCATCCACCATCTGGAGGGTTGGAGGGGGTAAATTCTCCTGGGTCTTTGTCAATAGAACCCCATGAATCTCCAGGATCATGTCTTTTTTCCATCTCAGACTCCATGTTTCAAATAACACAATATCGAAGACTCTTTCATCAGTCCCTGTATTACTTCTTACTCTTCACTTAGATATGCGTTACTTTCATAGATTGGTGAATCTTAAATTTGAAAAAAAAAATTGTCATATCATCCGAAGTTTAACTTAAAATCTCCAATGCTACTGTTTTACTCATATTAGAAGTACGTTTATAAAATAACAACTACAGATTTTCAAGCGTTAGCGTAACGTGTATGCAAAAGAAAGAGTAATGTGTATGCGTATAAGAGTAATGCGTACATGCAAAAGCTAATGTTAGAGTAGGAAATTCATCATATCGATCGATTTAGTAATTTTTTTTCAATGGCACATTCAAAAATTACAAACAGTATATAATTAAGCTTCTTTGTATTTTATACGCTTAGAGTTTCAATGTACTTAATCATCAACATAGTAGAAAAGTCGGACCTATCGCTTCCTATGTTATATTCATACTTTCCAGCGATGCAGTAATTGTAAATGATGACAATTTATTTAATATTTTCATGGTAGACATTTTTACAATTCTTTTCTGGAAAATTAACATATAAGAACCAAGAAATATTGCCTAATGCGGACACATCACGAGTGCTAAGTATCATAATCTTGGCGAGAATAGTTTTGTTCCAGTGTTAAATACAAATAATTGAATCCATGACCAAAATTCAAGGTCATTTGTAGGTTTTGAAAATATCAAAAATTTGGATTAAAACAGGGAAAAAATACGATCTGCAAGAAGAAAAATTCTAGGAAAAAGAATACCCCCCCCACCCCCCCTCATCGAAGGGAACATCTGAAAACGGATGTATTGGTACTATCTTTCAAGTCGGAATGATAAGTGGCAAAATTTGTTTGACAAAAGTACAAGGTTATCATACCAATCCTTGCACTTCCCGGCATTTGCACTGGTAGACAACGTTGGCGGACAATGTACATTCATGTAAATAGTACATATGATTAAGTGGGTATTTATCTGATATGTTATAAATAAATATAGATATCGCTAAAATAAATATAATATTGCTGGTTAAAACTTTTGACCACAAGACTAAATTTCTGTTTAAAGTATTAAGGTCAAAAGAGGCCGGAAGACCGAATTCAGATTATTTACACTTAATTTTTGGATCAAAGATTTTAGGGGTGGTAAGTAATGACCCTTTAAATCAATAGTGTCAATCAAGGTAGTAGTAGATAAAAGCAATTGTCAATATTGTCCTACGTACACCTGACACTTCAAGGGCTTCTCTTGGATGTTACCCTTGGCTTAAGCAATCTGGACAATGAGAAAACACTTACCTACAAGTTAACATGTACCTGACATTGCTTTATTTTTGTTTTTTGTTTTTTTGAGTTGAAATCTACACATTTTTCAAACGAATTCTCATGAGTCTCTGGTGAAACTGTTGCTGTAGAGTTGCGAACTTATGATGAAGAAATGTGTATCATAGTATAGTCTACTTGTGTGTCATGTCTTACTAAAAGTATTAAAACTGTAGGAGGCGTACTGTTTTTTGAAAGAAAGAATTTTACAGAAATTTCTATTTAGTAACCTTGGCAACATCGTTTATTGAAATGCAAAAAATAGGAAACCAAAATAAAAAATAATCCACCTGGTAAAATCTATTTATGTGCCAATTCTGGTGGAAATCGAACTGAAATATAGCACTTTAAAAGAATTTCACAGATATTGCTATCTTTATTTAGCATGACGTTATGTATATTTGTACAATCTACTTGTTACCAAGTCGTATTGAAATCGGATCAAAATTCTACAAGGAGAAGCAATTAGAAAAAAAATACAGACAGACGGGCAGGCGGGCAACGGACACCTTACTAATACATAAGCTTCTATGGTATCTAAACAGTTGAGCTAAATACTCTTAAACTCCCAATCCTCTTTGTGTGCATAGGAACATGGTAGGTAGATAAATAAAAAAGATGCGACTTATTTGAAAAGATGTACCATGAATTTTATGGTAATATTTATATTTTCTGCCACAGAAATAATTACAATTGTACAGGGTTTTTCCAATTTTTTTCTCTAGAATTCCCGTGTTATCATTTGACCTGACCTAAAATTTACAATCAAATACCACAAAAAGATTTTATTCGAGATAACAGTTGGACAAACATTTGGAGCGCATATCATCTTTTAATAGTTAACTATGTCGCCATTTCATATAGGTATTTTGTAAATATCGGCGGAAAAGCAAAACAAATGTTACATTTTTTTTTCAAGAGAACTCTGGAGTATTCGTATACATATAAAGATAAATTCTGATCTTTATTATTTAAAACTTATCACTTATGTAGAGAACATCAAAATATAAAATTTTGTCAAGATTTACTTCCGATGAACGTATTAGGCTAGTTTAAAAAATGTATTATTCTTTCAAAATACCACTGCTCCTTTCATTTGATAAAGCTTTGTCCACAAGTTAAACTATATCATGGTAAATAAGTCTTTGAACAGATTCACCTTTTAACGAACAGTGTGTCAGTGATTACCATAAATAGCATTGAAAATTCTTTTAAGATGCCGTTTCGCCCAGTTTTTATCCAAGTTCAATAAAATGGGCTTAGTATAGACGTAACAAGGTACACCGTTACTGTAGTACATGAATGTATGTCGATATCAAAATAGAATGAACAATTTTGCCATACTCGTCGATAACAGGGCGAACATTGAAATGTCACTGAAAGAAGTCTGTCGGTGGTCATTCAGTGACCATTTCGTCGACTGAATGGTAATATTTATACATGTACATTTCAGTGGCATTTCAGTAATCTTTTGGTTGCTTCCTTATAAATAAATTGATATACATGAACAATGTATACTTGTATATATATCGAATTTTTTTAGCAAGCCAATTTCATTTGTCTGTATAAATTATAATGGTATCCATTAGCATCGTTTTTAAGAACCTTGCGTCCCAAATAATTTTGGGTCCAATACGCTGGTTCTTCGTCAATGAGAAGCCTGTGACATACGCACCACTTATCATAATTGTATGTATAAAATATCTTAACAAATATTGAAAAAATATTTTGCGATTGTAATTTTTGCGGATTTGTCCTATCCGCAAAATATTGCAAAAATTGAACAACCGCAGAAAAATCCGTTATACGGTATATATATTTGCTTAACCGTGATATTGAAAATGAAATTCATTGTCTACGTTGGAATTCCGTAGACAAATAGTTACACAATGGGTAAGAAAACTAGGCACTGTGTTTCCAATAAATTTGCAAGCCCACATTGTGCCAGTGTAAATGTGATGATAATTTTAAACAATACACACATTTAGTTTGCTTCTACTTTATGTGAATAAAAAAATTTGGTCTACATCACATTCGCACAAAACTTTTCTCTATTCTTTTGACACTTTAACTAAAGCAAATCTATACATGGCTTCTTCAACACCAGAATACATGCAAGTGCTTTTGATAATTTTTCAGTATAGTCCTGCTTAACACATCATTACTGGTGATGTAAACATAGTTGGAAATAACGACCTAAAAGCACTCTTTCATAAAGTAAAGTTCAAAATTCAGGAAGCCAAGTTTTCTTTCAAATGGCGAAAGATTTTCATTTTTGTTATGATTTTGTCGAAGAGTGTAACAGACGATATGAATTGCAACACCTTAATTAACAATTTGTCAGAATGGATTAAGAGTATATTAAACGCATATTGAAGTCTTGAAGTAGACACAAAAAGAAATTAATGCCTACCATCTATCCTTCTGTCCTCGGAAGACTGAAATAAATAAAGAAATAAGAAAGATTTTATGAACAAATTGTAATGGTTCCAATGTTCAAACTGACAAAGCATAGAACAATCTAGTGTTTGTAAGGTTTATTATTATAACTGCATTCAATGTAGAAGAACTTTGCCTTGGCTTTATTTCACATCTAGTAATTCCAGCTTGTAACTCCCAGTCACATTCAAAAGTTGAATGTTTTTCACAACCATGTTTCAGTCTTGAATACCTCTAACATCTAGTCAGCGGGAGTAAATTTGAGTTATTTTACATACAATACAGAGTCAAGTTAATTTCTACCAAATCCCTTTCTATACTCCTAAAGATATTGTTGAAAGAAGAAATTTTAGATGTATAATGCTATATCATATTTAAGAAGTGGTGTAAATCAACTGTAGATTCTCATAAATCCATAGATTTTTTTAGAAAATTTAAATTACATTTTTCAAAAAGCAACACAATTAAAACGTATCAATAATTGATTGTATGTTGCCACAAATTTTGAACAATGCATGGAACGAAGCAGGGAGGGTTCTTTATTGTACTAACGTTTATACTATAGGACCTCAGTTATTAAAGGTATCATCCGAAAGACCTTTACTTTTCACTTCGGATGCCGAAAGCTTGGCGAAGGAACAATCATTACTTATGTTAAACGTCCAAGGTTTGACGCGACGCTGGAAATGAGAATGAAACCCAGATCTTCTGTTAGACTTTCAGCACTTTATACAATCATTCTTCCTGATAAATAGAAAACCAGACTTTTTAGACATCATAGATATTAATAAAAATCGAACAAGAAAAATGTGTTAATCATTTAAAAATTATTTGTTAAAATCATTCTGATTATACCCTGAAGTTGATGTCAAAAATTTATTTTGATCTATGGAGTTTTTCATTGAAAATATTTATGTAATCTTTGAGGGCTTTTGAATTTCCGAGGGCACAAATTGTGCTCCTTTCTTAGCAAGCCTGTTTTTGTTTTATTGAATTATGAATCAAAATTTATTTAAATACTTTTACATAAGATAAAGAAATATCTTGTGGCCTTCAAATCGACATTTAGATACATGTATATTGTGGATTTGTCACTAGACAATGTTCATTTTCATTCTAATGTAGATTCTGTATATTCCATTAAACTAGACAAAACAACTCACCACAGAATCAGCCACAATGCTTTTTGTGGATAAGTTACCGAAAATAGACGTTAATAACACATTC